TCTCTCTCTTTCTCTCTCTCTCCCTCTCTCCCTCTCTCTCCCTCTCTCTCGCTCTCTCGCTCATTGTGTGGTGTCGTGAGGCGCCGCCCCGCCCCGCCCGCAGGTGCTCGGCTCCTCGTTCATATTCTGGTCGGGTCGGGGCGTCCCGTTGTCGGAGATGCAGCGCGGTGCAGTGGGCGGGCCACGACGCTCCCCTCCTCTGCTGTCTAAAGAAGAAACTATCCTCCGTCCCGTTGAAAAGTTTTCCCACTTTATCAAATGTTACCTCTTTGTGTAAGAACCGGTCAAAACAAAAGAACCCGTCGCCTGAAAAAACACTCACACACAAAAAAACAAGTACTGCACCGAAGACAACGGAAGGTGCAAGCTCACATATGAAAATGATAAAAGACAAACTCAGTGTTCTTACTCCTTGTGGTCTTGTGGTCCGTGGCTGAAAGAAAATGGAACGGTGACGAAACAAGGCGCCTGAAGCACTTTTTTGTTTAGTTCTCACGGAGGGCTCCAGAATTGTGGGCGCGTTTTCGATTGGTCGATGATAGTGATGTGAGTCGACTTGACCCCGGCTCGGAGGTAGTACAACGGCGTCAGACTGTCGCCCAGCGGGTGCTGCTGCACATTCGCTCGCTCACTCACACTTGCCCACTCTCACTCGCACTCACTCACACTTACTCACGACACCGTTCGGCTCTGAGCCCGCGGGCTGTGCCCTGGCCTCCGCCGCCCGCTAATGGCTTTTGCTGGAGTGACTGACTTTATTATTTTTCATTATTTTCCCCCGGAGGCGTATTACACATATAGATGTATGGGATGGGTGACACTCAGACACCTTTCACAAACTCGGCCGCCTCGGGGACCCAGTCGTATAGTATACACTGTTGTTGGCCCGCAACAGGTCTTACATACGTTTTAATAGTGGATATGGTAGTGTGGGCGAGGTGTGTGCTATTGTGCGGACCGGACCTGCCTGGGTCAAGAGAACGGGCTGCTCCGGCGACTCGGTGACCGACTGGAGGCTATCCGTGCCGTCTGGCTTTGGCCGCTCCAGCGGCTGGAGAGTGATTTTCCGCTTCGACCCGCTCCGCTCCGCTGGAAGACTCTACTGGATCCACGGCGATCATGAGACTAAGGGGGCTTGGGGAAAGGGGGAGAGTATCTTTCTCATTATCACACACTTCACGTTTGCTGTTCGACTGGGTCGAGCCGCCTTCTCTCTCTCTCTCTCTCTCTCTCTCTCTCTCTCTCTCTCTCTCTCTCTCTCTCTCTCCCCCCTCCCTCCCTCCCTCTCCCTACCTCTACCTCTACCTCTCCCTCCCTCTCCTTCCCCCTCCCCTCCCCCTTTTTTTCCCCTTTCCTCTCTTTTCCCGCCTTCGCACCTACCTCACCTCTCTCTCATGATATAGCACCTCGAGGAATACGGGATTCGAAAGTTTTCGACAAGACGATTGACTGTTGGTTTTTTTGTTTGTCGCCTCAGCTGCCGCTGAGTAGAGGGTTACAAGCTAGGAATGAACAAGAGGTTTCGTCTCCACACTTTTGAATGAGACCCCTCCCCTCCCGGGGTCCCGTCCCTCCGCCTCTCCGGCAGGACTGGCAGCGGAAATAGAGAAAGACATCGCGCGGCGGCAGGCTTGAGCCGTCGGTGTACTAACGCCTCGCGGGCCGCATGCAGATGAGACGTACACTGCTATGTAAACCGTGTTGTACGCTTACGAAATGATCAGCTGCTTTGTCTAAACCAATCGGTCAAATAATTTTTTAGTAGCAGTGTACTGTAGCTAAAAATTAAGCTTAAATTTTTAGCTACCGACCTAAATTTTTAACTAGAGCTAAATTTTCTGTGTGACATGACAGCTAAATAATCCCATATCGAGCTATTCGTTAAGCTCTATAGCTAACATTTTATGTTAAGTCTACCAACGAGGTTGAAAGTTCAAAGAATCCGTTACCCTTTTTGTTTTGATTGTTTTGACAAATCGCTGGGGCATTGCTTCATGCGACCTTTTCTCGGCAGTTTATGGGAGATCGCGGAATCCTTCTGTCCTGTCGTACCCTTCTAATTTCTGTGAAGCCGGCAGCGATGTTGTTTAGAAGGAGTCGGGGGCAAACTGCACTGACAATTATAAAGCGGGGAAATGTTCTTTCTTTCCTGTCTTGCCCGTGAGTTTGTTCGTCGAGCGGAGAGGAAATATCCATTTCCCTGGTTGAGCTGCTCCGCGTCTCCGCCGCTTCGCTCGGCTCGCGCGCTCGCGCTCTCTCTCTCGCCGCGCCGCTGCCAAGGCACCACGCCCCACCACGATACAGTACCGCACCGCGCCTCGCCTCGCCACGCCGCGCCGCTGCGAGCTCACAAACCAAGTCATTGACTTCTCAATCTTCCTCATCTCTCTCGCGCGGCGTCCTCTCTCTCTCTCTCTCTCTCTCTCTCTCTCTCTCTCTTTCTCTCTCATGTCACTTGGCCGGCCATGGGCTGCCACGGGCTGCCATGCTCTCTGGCTGCACCAGGCTGCCACGGGTCTGGCAGCAGAGCCGTAGCGCCTGTCAGCCTGGCCTGCATGAAATTCTATCTACTTTATCGAAGGACAGGGGCCATATGGGCCACAGGCTGAGTGGCTGCCCAGACCCCTTCGCCCTTCTCCCCCCCCC